CTATCAACCAATCAGATCGCTAGAATCAACTATACGCACTATACGTATGAACGCGAAATATATTTACGGCATTTTGCTGTAATTTAGTAATTACCCCCGGGTATTACCTGGTTATATCTACCCAGGTATTACCTGGTTAAAACTACCTGGGTAGCCATAATCACTACTTGGATATCTGATTACCCGCGGGTAACCCGAGTACAAACACTAAACTTTATTTTATTTTCTTTGTTTTATTTATATATTATTTAGAAGTTTTTACTTGTTAGCAAGTTTCTTCTATTCAACTTTATTATATGATATATAATCTCTGTATTTTTTATTATATATATAATTTTTATTTTTATTTAATCTTTTTACTATATAAAAAACTACTACATATCAGTTTAGTAGTAGTCTATTATATAAGTAAGAAGTTATAATAAGCTGTAATATTTACTTAATGATTTATTGTTATTTTTTCAATAAATTAAGTAGTAATGATAAAAGAAAAGATTTATTGTAATAGATCGCATATAAGTACTATTATAATAACTAGATAAGTTAATACTTAGAAAATTACTTAGTTAGATATATTAAGAGTAACTAAATATTCTAATTGTTTTTGTCAAGTACAAAATTTATTCAAATAAAGTATTAGAATAACTTTCTGAAAAGGTTAAAAAAAAATTTAATAACTTAAGTTAGTTAACTTATTCTGAATTCATTTACTATCTTAGCTTAGATCTACTAGTATTATATTATACCCAACACATTATGAATATAGCAAAGCCAATTAACCTTGAAACAAACCTACAAGAACAATCCGTGCTCATTTCAATATGCCCAAGAAAATGATTGGAATTGATCAAGAATTTATAGATTTCATATTATTTTCTTAGGCATATTACGGAATTTCTAGCAAATTCCATATATAATACCGAATTATACTAAATATTTCGTATATTTAATTTAAATTCTGTAAAATTCTATTAAATTCTTCATTCTTTGGTATTACTTTAAAGATAAATAGTTTTGTTTACGAATTTGTCTCTAAAGAGTTAACCCCGGAATGTATGAGTTTTTGTTCTTTTTATTTTAGGTTACTCGAGTCTAAAGTTGTCTCATAAATGTCCGAGCAAACTCGACTCAAAAGACCGACTCTGGACTGGACTATACGGAAGCCTAATTTGCATAATATGATTAATAACTTAACCAACATTTCCGGTATGAATTTTACTTAATATACAAATGGTCTTGCAGATTAAAAATGCAAACTGCGAAAAATATAGATTGCTCAAAATATTAATAATAATAAAAAAAAGATGCAGCTATTGAATAATACATTTTCCTTTTACACTGTTTTTAATTCTATCATCAGTTTTTGACTTATCTGAACACTCAGCAATTCGTGAGGAAGAATTACCAATATCAGGATCCCAATATGTATTTCGTAAAGAATCACCAATATCAGGATTCCAATAAGAATTCCCCACTGCGTTGCATAAGGTTTTTGTTAAATCATCTGATGCTTTATCCAATTTTTGTTGAACTTTATTTGCTTCCTCAAATGCACCTCGATCTCTCAAATATTTTTCACGTTTGGTTAAAACATCCACCAACTTCTCTAAGCTTTTTATAACATCACGTCTATCTTTCCGTTTACATCTTTCCTTTTTTGAGTCATTATCATCTTCGTTATTCTTTCTTTTTAAATTTCCCATTTCAAATTCCATAGCTTCGTATTCTTGTGTTGTGACACGAAAACCCGAACTATGAGGATATTTGCCGCAAGTAGTTATATAAAAAGAATTTTTGCCCTCTTGTATGTTAAATATTGTAAAATCGGAATTTGGTGTTATATGCCATGTGTTAGGATATGCCTTTACAACCGTCCTTGTTTCGCGAATATCAAGAATTATATATGATTTTATTGGTATTGAAGAATATTTACCACCTGGTTTTGTAAAATTTTTGTCAATAAACATTGTGAATTTTTAATTACAGTCAAACCTCTATAATTACACACTCTATTAGGGATGTTATGGTCCAATCCTGATCCAAAAATTTTATAATAAAAAGACTGTCCTGAACCGTCTTTTAATATGAAAATTTGAGACTAGAACCGGACTATAACATCCCTACCCTCTATGCACATCCGCTCTAATGAACAAACATGAGAAATAATGCTAAATGCACACCCTCTATATGTGCAAGAAATTTAAAAAGTTTTTATATTAGGCCATACAAAGTTAATTAATTGTTTCTCATAACATGCGAATTTAAAAATGACCCGTCCGCCCGGCTTTTAATTTTTTAATTATAAAAATTTTATGTTTATTATTCAGAAAATATTAAAAAACATATATAATTTTTTTTTAATTTTTAAAAAAACCCACCCGGAAGTATTCATATAAATAACATAAAATTTTTTCTCGAAAATTTACAAAAGCTGATCCGACCGGGTTATGAGAAACAACCAATTAACTTTATATAGCCTAATATTAAATATGGCAACATATGTTTAAAACTATACTCTAAAACATATCATTTACAAGTTACAGCTTCATTAGGAGACGTTTTAAAAATGTTAGGCTATATAAAGTTAATTAGTTGTTTTTCATAACCCGGTCAGGTCAGCTTTTGTAAATTTTCATTATAAGTTATTGATATGAATACTTCCGGGCGGGCGGCCTTATAATAAAATAAATTAGATCTACGTACAAAAATCTTAAGTGACATAATTAAATTCTAAACCATACTCTATATTACACATATAACATTAATTTTGCTATTCATTTTTGCAAAATAAGTCTGAAAAAATGCAAAGCGGTGGCTTTGCAGCAAATAACTCTAACCGACGTACGAAATATTTGGGTCATGGACTAGGAAAACCTACTTCCGAAGGGGGTTTCCATTTTGAGAAAATGACGATTAATTGTTTGTGTTACCTAAATTTTACCCTGAATTTTTTGTTTATTTT